CCTCCGCCTCCTGGGTCCAGGCAATTCTCCTGCCTCAGCCTCCTGAGTAGCTGGGATAACAGGCATGCGCCACCATGCCCAGCTAATTTTTGTATTTTTAGTAGAGACGGGGTTCCACCATATTGACCAGGATGGTCTCGATCTCTTGACCTCGTGATCCACCCGCCTCGGCCTCCCAAAGTGCTGGGATTACAGGCGTGAGCCACCGCGCCCGGCTGGTGCTAATATTATATTGACTTTTAAATTAGAATTAGCGGTAAAAAGGAAAAAAGCCAAAATAATTTGATACTCCGAAAATACCTTCTAAAACAATCTTTAGTATTTTCAAAGTGATAGCTCAGGCATGTTTTAAAGAGCAAAGTCAAAAAATAAGGAAAGCTTAAATGATCTTTTTCTTTTTCCCTTTTTCTCCATCCTGTTTTTTTCCCCAAACATAAAACTAGACTTTTTCAGACCACTCAGAAGCCGCTAAGAAGCACAAGCGCAGGTGACTGAATTTAATAAAAGCCAAGTGTCCCTTCTGTGCCTTAAATGTATTTGTGGGTACATGAGTGAGAGCACATGTGCCTGAGAAGCTGAACACATTGCTTACAATGTAAATTTTACACATTTAATAATTAAATTGTCTACCACGTAGCTATTGCTAAATATTTAAGTTTGATGTATTCTTGAAACAAAATTATAAAAGCTTTCTGTAAATAAATAAAATAAAAAATAAATGAGATCTTTGCTAAGAGTAGAAAAAAAGCTTTCTGAAAATTTTTTCACATGAAACCATAATTTTTTCAACAGAAATATTTCAACCCTCAGTTCCCCTAGACAAAGTAGTCCAGAAGCTCATGTAATTGCATAGTTTTATTTTTAATACCGTAAAGAATATTACACAATCTGGATAGGTTATAGTTGCTATGGAAACTATAAGATCTTTGCAGTAAGTCAAAAAGTGCAAAATTAACACATCAAATTAATGGCTTTTGAATTTCACATACAGGCTGTCAAAGGAATTTGAAAGCTTGAAAAGAAGAGACCGAGCATAGGCCTTTTACTCTAAATTACGTGGACAGGAACAAGGAGCAAACCCAGTAATTACTTCACTTAATAAGTTTAAATATAACTTCCATCTGTTAAATTAATAAAATACTCAAAAATCTACAATTTTGAGATTTGCAACATTTAAATTGAGAATGAAAGAAAGTACACATATCATTACTATTTCTCATTGCAAACTAACTGTCAGATGGTAAGTGATGATGCAGCATCTCTACAGTTCACCATATGAAGAAGTTGCAAGGTCCCAGAGGGCATATGGGACTCCTTGGCACTGTATTATATGAATGCCAATCTTTGGGCATATGCCAATACTTTAGTCTGAAGACTAAATATGCGTCCTTTAACACAATGTCCAGAAATACTTCAGTGATTAGGCACATGAGACAGGGAGGCTTTATTGCTGTCATCCCATGTGAGTGCCACTCTCCAGGAGTACCCCCAAGTAGAGGAATTCACACCTCACTGCTTAGATGTTTCAGGCACATGTCATATTAAATATCATAAAAGAACATTTTTTTTTTCGAGACAGAGTCTAGCTCTGTCGCCAGGCACCAGGCTGGAGTGCAATGGCGCAATCTTGGCTCACTGCAATCTCCACCTCCTGGGTTCAAGCAATTCTCCTGCCTCAGCCTCCCGAGTAGCTGGGACTACAGGCGCATACCACCATGCCCAATTAATTTTTGTATTTTTAAGTAGAGACGGGGTTTCACCATGTTGGCCAGGATGGTCTCGATCTCTTGACCTCATGATCCATCCACCTCGGCCTCCCAAAGTGCTGGGATTACAAGCGTGAGCCATGACAAGGCTGAAAAGCAGGTGAACCTGCCTAGCTTACCCTGGTATGATAACCTGGCTTTTAGAGGCAGCATAGTTCCTCCTTAAAACTATTTCATTTCCAAATTACTTTTATTTCTAAATACATAAAGATAGACAAAGCAATTTCAAAGCCTTCAGAGAAACTGTTTTCTACATTTTCATGTATATCAGATAGTATGATTAGAGCAACTGCATATTGAAATTATTAAGTTTACTAAATGCACCCAGAAGAATTAAAAATACATGTATTTGTAGTATAAATATGGATAAATGCTACATAGAATTTTTAAATAACAAGATGTTTCTTTTTTTTTTTTTTTTTTTTTTTTTTTGCGACGGAGTTTCACTCATGTTACCCTGGCTGGAGTGCAATGGCGCGATCTCAGCTTACCGCAACCTCCGCCTCCTGGGTTCAAGCAATTCTCCTGCCTCAGCCTCCTGAGTAGCTGGGATTACAGGCACGCACCACCATGCCCAGCTAATTTTTTGTATTTTTAGTAGTGACAGGGTTTCACCATGTTGACCACGATGGTCTCGATCTCTTGACCTCATGATCCACCCGCCTCGGCCTCCCAAAGTGCTGGGATTACAGGCTTGAGCCACCGCGCCCGGCCAAGATGTTTCTTCTATATGTCTATAATGTGTAGCAACACCATAAAAACTTCACTCTCTTGGCTGAGCGTGGTGGTTCATGCCTGTAATCCCAGCACTTTGGGAGGCCGAGGCGGGTGGATCACGAGGTAGGAGTTCGAGACCAGCCTGGCCAACATGGTGAAACCCATCTCTACTAAAAATTTAAAAATCAGCTGGGTGTTGTGGTGGGTGCCCATAATCGCAGCTACTCAGGAAGCCGAGGCAGGAGAATCACTTGAAACCGGAAGGTGGAGGTTGCAGTGAGCCAAGAATGTGCTACTACACTCCAGCCTAGGCTACAGAGCAAGACTCTGTCTCAAAAAAAAAAAAAAAAAAATTTAAAACTTCACTCTTAGCAGTCACAATGAAAAACAATCGTTCGATGTGAACATTATGTAACAAAATAGAAAAAATAAATCTAACAGAGACTGCTTCTATTAGGTCTTCCATCTGAGACACTATGTTCCTTTTCTCTTTTTTAAAACAGCTCTGTCCCCCAGGCTGAAGTACAGTGGCATGATCTAGGCTCACTGCACTGTCGACTTCATGGCCTCGGGTCATCCTCCCACTTCACTCTCCCAAGTAGCTGGGACTAAAGGCACACATCACACACCCAGGTAATTTTTTGTAAAGGCGGGGTTTCGCCATATTGGCCAGGCTGGTCTCGAACTCCTGAACTCAAGTGATTCGCCCACCTTGGCCTCCCAAAGTGCTAAGATTACAGGCCTGCACCACTGCACCCTCCTGGGCCTGGAAAATTCTTGATGCAAACAATTCTATAGATAGTAGAAAATATAAGAAGTACATACCTGTACAAAGAATAGAAATCATTATCTTAAAATGAAAGCTTACTCTCATATAAAAAATCAAGCTCAGTGTTAGAATTTAAATGTAATTCAGAGAAGAATTTCTCAAATCTAGAGAAGCAAGCCTAGCAGGAACATCTCTTAAGTGAAATATTAGGACCTGTTTTAATGAAAAAGAT